TCCTGAGCTCTGCCCTGAGGGAGATGCAAACCGAGCAGAAGAGGTGACCCCGCCCTCCTTTTGCCGGCAAGGTGCCTTCTCCGGGTGGGGGTGTGGAGAGGACACAGTTAGAGAGACTGGCACTCTCCACAGAGAGCCAGGGGGTCCCCATGCGATGTCCTGGCTGCTTCGGGGTGGATCCCAGATGGGCAGAGGGGTGTGTTCTCAGAGGCTCCTAAACACCCCAAGGGTCCAGAATAGCGCCCATAGTCAGACTCCAAAACGCCTGACCTCCCACCGCCAGAGAGCCCCGTGGCCGGGGTTCCGGGGCCCCCTCCCCTCGGACCGCACCGAGTATCGCCGGGTGAAGGCCATGGAGGGCCCTTTACTGATGCGCAGCCGAGAGCCGGTCATTTCTAGGTGAGGATCAGAGAGGCCAGTGCCGTCGGAAGCGGTCAGGACAAGTCCCCCTCTTGGCCGTCTCTCCGTGAGCTGGTGTCGCGGACAGTGCAGCTCAGGGCCCACGGACAGGACACACTGGCTGGGCCCGTTTTCCAGGTTGAGTGGCAGGTCGGAGCCTGAGAGAGTTCATGCTCCCACCCCATCTGGGACACTGGCTCCATTGGGAACGGCCTCCCATACTCATGTCGGGATGTTCCTGACATCACAGGCCAAGTCCTGCCTCTGCCTCTTCCCTCATGACCCAGACACTTCGCCTCTTCAGACCTCCCTTGCCCATCTGCAAAATGGGGTCATCCCACTCACCTCCTGGGGCTGGCGTGAGAATTACATGAAGTCAGTACTTGCTGACCCCTAAGGAGCCATCGCTCCATCCTTCCCTCCCTCCATCCCTCCATCCATCCCTCCTTCCCTCCCTCCCTCTATCCCTCCCTTCATCCCTCTATCCCTCCATCTCTCCATCCTTCTCCCCCTCCATCCCTCCCTCCCTTTATCTCTCCCTCCATCCCTCCCTCCTTCCCTCCCTCCATCCCTCCTTCCAGCTCTCCCTCCATCCCTCCCTCCATCTCTCTATCCTTCCTTTCCTCTCTCCCTCCATCCCTCTATCCCTCCATCCCTCCCTCCATCCCTCTATCCCTCCATCCCTCCCTCCATCCCTCCATCCCTCTATCCCTCCATCCCTCCCTCTATCCCTCCATCCCTCCATCAGCCCATCCATTTGGCATCCGTGTATCAGCACCTGCCTGCCGTGCGCCATGTCTGTTCTATTGCTAGGAGGGTGCTGAACAAGAAGGGCTCCCTGGCGTCTGGAATTGACATTCCAGTAGGGGGAGACCAGTAAAAATAAGTAAGTACATAAATAAGATCATTCCAGAAAGTGCTAAGTACCAAGAGGTAAATAGAAAAGGGCTGATAGGACAGAATCACGGGGGGGGGGGGGGGGGGGGGCGAGCATCTGAGCCGCTCGTGTGTCACTCCAGGTCAGCGCCTCTGGGGTAAAGAAGGAAGCCCAAGAGCGCAGCCCGAATCAAGTTCCTATGTGACCTCGGTCGAGCTACTTCACCCCCGGGCCTCAGTTTCCCCATTTGTAAAATGCGGACAAAAGCATCTCTCCATGGGGCAGTGGTGAGAATGTCATAAGATAACACATGCAAAACGCTCCCCGTGTCGGCATTGGGTAAATAAGAATTTTAAAATTCTATACAAATGGACAATGTCACTCGAAGTACTAGCGATAAAAGACACCTCCAAAGAGCCTCCTGTAGGGTCACAGGCCCGTGGAGGGGTTGTCAGTGTTTGGTGTCTGGGTTCTGTCTCTGCCACGCGCTGTACTGTCCGGCCCGCGGCCCTGGGGGTCTCAGGACCGGCTGGAGGACCCTCCCACTCTCCCACCTGAGGCGGTACTCAGGGCCCCCTCCGGCCACCTGCCTTTCCCGTCCTGTCCTCGGGGACAGCCTGGGACAGGAGGCGGGCCCACTTCCCAGGTCAGACCCCGGAAAGGGGAGGAGCCCAGGTCCTTCCTCCTGGCAGGGTCAGGGCCAGGTCATTTCCATGACGACAGCCGGTGCTGGTCTAGTTGGCTTTTGTTTTCCCCCTTTTGATCTGGAAATTCCTCCAGCTTACAGAAGAGCTGCAAACATAGGACAGTTCCGTGCACCTCACCCAGGCCCCCTGCGCCAGCCTTTGACGTCACCATGGATCAGGGTGACAAGGAAGGAGTCACGCACGTGCTTGGTCCGGAGTCCGAGGGCAGGACAAACCTCGAGGGAGCGCCAGAGATTTCGTTCTGCCTCTCTGAAGCCACTTGCCATCCCGTTTTCCCTTGTCTCTCACAAGGAATTGTCCCTAGCCCTCCCTCCAGTGACAATGACAAATGGGGGGTCCTTCGCCCAGAGGGTCCGCTTCCTAGCACGCAGGCCCCCCTAGCTCTTCACCCCACCCATGCGTCCCCACTCAGGACACTGCACTTTCATGAGGCGACGGGGACTTACCTGGGGCCTCAGTCTCCTGCCGGCCGGGGACATGGCATCTCAGAGCCACATGGATGTGTGGGCGGGGGTGGCAAACTCCTGGTTCTCTTGTCTCCTGGAGAGAAAAGCTACAGAGAAGAGACTCCCTGGGCCCCCTTATCTATAATAATGAAAGCGTAATATGCTAATTAGAGTGGACAGCTGAACGACCTTCCGGACGTCCTTCCTGACGAAGCCGGGGCTGCAAGGGCTGAGCCCCTTGCACGAATTTTGTGCATCGGACCTCTAGTGTCAATTACAGGTCTCAGCACCCCCTCTGACCACCACAGCGAGGCCCCCACACCTGCAAGGACGTGGAACACGGGGCAGAGGGGCTCAGGGAGGAGGCGAGGACCCCCTGAGCACCACCCGTCTCTCCTGACTCCTCCGAGCGGGACAATGACGACGAGGCTAGAGACCAGGGCACACAGCCCATAAGAGACAGAGCCACATTGCAGCCCAGGCCGGCTGCTGGGTTGTTCCCAAATGCACCCCATTGTTTCCTCCGTCTGAGCCCCACCTACGATCCCCTCCACCTGCTTTTCCCCGTGGGATCCTGCATCTGCTTACAGGATTCTATCAAAGCCACCATCCCTCTGAAGGTTTTGCTGCTGCAAAGATAGATGGCCCTCGTCCCCCTGTGGCGGTGAAGTCCCCGCGCCTCTCAGCCTTTCACAACCACACGTGGCCCCTCAGTGTCAGGCACGGAGCCAGGGGTGGGATGAGCAGTGAGCAAGACCCCAGGGGGGTCTGAAGCATCATGTTCCAGTCGGGGAGGCAGGCAACAAAGGACTGTGCAAGAAATACTCAGAAGTCCTTTGAGAGTGTAAGTGCTGTGGATATAATAAAAAGTGGTGCTAGCTAAGGGCATTGCTGCTTTCACCGGAGTGGCCAGAGAAGGCCCCTTGAGGAGAGACGTGTGGGAGGAGACCACGTGAGTGGGAGGGAGCCAGCCCTGAGAAGGTCCGGAGAGTGCACCAGGTGGGTGAGCAGCAGGTGCAAAGGTCCTGAGGTGACCACACCCTCAGTGGGTTTGAGACTCAGAGAAAGGCCAGCGGCTTGGAGCACTTCCTGCCAGACGTTGTCTTCCTCCCGACTAGACAAGAAGCTCCCGTGGGGCAGGGACCATATCTCCCCTGGGCCTCCCCTCACCTGCAAAGTCACTTCTCCTCTCTGGGCCTCAGTTTTTCCTTCTGTAAAATGGGGGTGCTCCTCCCCCCGTCTCCTGAGGGCTTGTGATGTTAAGTGAGGCGCCGTGGGAGACAGAGCTTTGCTTATTCTGAGCACCTGCTGTGCTCACTCCTCTGAGCTGCGCCATGTCCCGTGCTCAGGGTCCCTCCTGAGGACGAAGAGCACACAGAGGTTCTTGAATCTGGCTGCTCACCAGAATCACCTTCGAGCAAGTAAAATAACTCGCCCTTTCCCCCAGGCCTCCTCCGTCAGAAATTCCAAGGCCAGGGCCTGGGAGTCTGTGACCTTGATGGCCAGGTGGGGACCAACGAGATGAGTGGCCGAGAAAGGGCCGAGTCGAGGGCACACAGACCTGGGCCTGAAGCCTGGCTGCTTCCTCCGTGTAAAAATGGCTGGGCTCAGAGCCTGGGCTTCCTCATCTGTTGAATGGGAATAATGATAAAACGCACATCACAGGACTAGTGTCGGAGTCGAATGAGATATTGTGTATGAAGTGCTCAAAAGAGTGGCTGGCATGTGATAATCATTCAGAAAATCACCATTGCTATTACTATTGTCTTTATGAATAATTTGCCGGCTGCATGGCATCGTGAAGCAAAAGATACAGTAGGCTCACCATTTCCCGCCTTCCCGCCTTCCTCCCTTCCTTCCCTCATTCCCGCGCTCATCACCCCATCCCGCCGGGACTTCGGCAGCAGATGCGAGACCCGAGGAAGGCCTGCGCAGCGGGCCCAGCGGTCGGGCCGCGGCCGGTCCGTCCTGCACTGTGCACCTCTGACTCACTCTTTGTCGTTTTCTTTTGCAGAGTTCTCCACTCTGGTGGCTGAAAGTTAAGAGGCTCTGGCTGCCCCCCCCCACCCCCGACCCCCAGCCTCAGCCCCTCCTGCTGCCTCCTCCGTTTCTGCTCAGTTTGTTTATGTTATTTTTTACTCCCCCCTGTCCTCCTTCGGCCCTCAAATGACACCATCCTTCTGGAAAATGCTGGAGAAACAATAAAGGCTGAACCAATGGGCTTCCGCTGCTTGAAAGGCTCCTGGGCAGGGGGTGGGGCGGGCGTGGTCCTCCTTGGCTTTCCAGGCACACCTGTGCAGGGCGGGCAGGCTTAGACAGAAAAGATGGGGTGAAAGAAATCTACTGAGCCCCTCCTCGGCCCTTGTTACCGAGCACAGCACTCCACACGGGTTGCCCATTAACCCTTGAAACCACCCCATAGGGAGGTGGTGAAACTCCCATTGTACAGGTCCTTAGAGAGGAAGGGATGTGTCCAAGTCCACACAGCTAGGACTTGTGGACGGATGGACGGATGGATGGATGGATGGACGGATGGATACCCATTAAAACTCTTTTTGTTACAAATGACAGAAACCCAACTCTGACTGACTTAAGCAAAAGAGGAAGAAAACACAAAGACTTGATTGGCTACGTGCCTAAATAGTCCAGGGGCAGGTCTGCAGGAGCAGCTGGATCCAGGCACTCACGTGACATCATCAGGATTAAGGCCTTCCTGCCCCACCTCTGGGCACGGCTTCCCTCTGTGCTGGATTCGCTGGTGATGGCAAGATCCCCCAGCAGCTCCAGCAGAACCAGTAAAAACACAACAACAAGCTTCTCTTTTCCATTCACTCCGTCAGAGGTCCCATTAATGCCACTTCTGATGCTCATTGAGCAGTTACTCCATGCTGAGCCATGCCCATGGTTCCATCTGTACAACAACCCTACCGTTATCTTCATTTTTCAGATGAGAAAACCTGGGCCCAGAGAAGGGAAATGTTTGCCCAAAATCACACCACGAGTAAGTGTGGAGCCAGGACCCTAACTCGGCAGCCACCTCCAGAGCTGTGTCCCTCCCTGAACCGGTCACAGATCGGGGAGCCCCATTTTGTGGGTGCCATCTGTGGAGAAAGCTCGTGGCCTGGGAGTCGGGGAGAATGCCCCGGTGGGAACCAGAGGCGGGGACGGAAGTGCAGCAGCTTCTGCTGTTTCCCACAACGGCCTTGGGGTGGAAACAGAAGAGCGACCTCCCTCCCCAGTGTCAGACTTCCTGGCCCAGAGGGGGGCAGGTGTCATCCTGGCAGGACTGTCAGGGAAGGCGCTCACCGAGGGCAAGGCCCCGAGTGGGCAACCCGTGGGATTCGGGCTGAGGGGCAGGGATGCACTGGCGTCCCTCCTGGTGGCAGCCAGCGGCCCTGCCTGGGAGCGGCCTGGGGACCAGACCTGGGCCAAAGCAGCAACAGTCCCTGCGGGCCACCTGCCGTGGGCTCAGCCAGAGGAGAGGCTGCGGGATGGTCTGCAGGAGACGGTGCAGCTGAGCAGGCAGGCGGGGGTGAGGGCGCACACGGACATACACAGACACATGTGGACACACGCGGACACATGCTCACAACAGCCAGGTTCGGGGTGGCCCAGGCTTTGGTTGTTGTTGTTTTGTTAATCTGCACCCGAGGGTATTTTTTCCCACTGATTTTTAGAGAGAGTGGAAGGGAGAGGCAGAGACAGAGAAGCATCGTTGTGAGAGACACACATCGATTGGTTGCCTCCCGCATGCACCTCAGCAGGGGCTGGGGATGGAGCCTGCAATCAAGGTTCGTGCTCTTGACCGGAATCAAACCGGGGACCCTTCAGTCCACAGGCCGATGCTCTACCCACTGAGCCCCACCGGCGAGGGCTTGACCCTGATTTTATGTGGCGTCTCAGGAGGCCTAACTTTGGACACTGAGGACAGGGTGGGGATGGGCAGCCAGAGCATCTCCCTGGAAACCAGTCCGGGGCCTGCAAGAAAGACAGGCAGGTCAGGGCGACAGTGACAGCTGCCTCTGGCCCCGGGTGGCCTTCAGCGCCGCTGGCCCCACATCCCAATGACAGCCCACACGCTGCAGCGCAGACGCAGGGCGGGGGAGCGCGCGGCCCAGCGAGCCTGAGAGCAGGGCTGTCGGGGACACGGGACATCGGATTCAGAGCCCTGGGTTTGGAAAGAATGGCCTGAGCCTGGGCAGGACAAGGGCAGGACAGGTGGGGACACCTTGTGGGCTGGGAGGGAGACAGAGTGAGGATGTATCATGGCCAGTGACATCGACACCAGCTCATTGCCAAGCCTTCCTGCTGCCTCACCACCAGATCCAGGCCCCCACAGCCCAGGTGGCCGCTTCAGGCCTCTCTTCTCATGAGGCGTAACCGTGCTCACTGTCCGTAACTCTGGTCTGGCACCTTTATACGGTGTGGAGGTGACCTGGCTTCAGCCAGGCTCTGAGAGATGCTGGCGGGAGCAGCCCGGGCCCCTGGACCAGCGTGTGGCCTCCTCGCCGGTCCTGGCCGCCCCTTCCCCGCCCCAGTCCAGGGCTCTCTTTAAAACACATCTAGTCACTTTGTTCTCCTGCTTAAAACTATCCAGCGACTGCCCCATTGTAGAACAAAATACTTCTATTTTATTTATTATTTCATAATAGATTTATAATAAATTACTCTATACGTCATTTTATAGCATAAAAATCCAGGCACAGCCTTGTCTCCTGCTGGCGTCCATCACAGCCTTCTCCCTCTGCGCAACCCTCCACGCTGTTCCCTCAGCCCGGACTCTGCTCTCCCTGCCTCCCACCCCCTTTCCCTGGCTCCATCCTATCCATCCTCAGGAAATCCACCTGAATGGATGCCCCCATTGGGGTCAGAGCCCCTGAACCCCCTCAGCCCCCCGTCCCCTGGTGAAATGGGGGGGGGGGAATGGAGACAATCTAATTCACAGCCATGTCTCCCAGCGAATGTAAGATGCTCCCGGGCACATCTGTGGGGTACCCTGCTGGATCCCAGAGCCTGGCACACAAAAGGGGGACGTGACCCAAATGTGGCTGCAGAGGCCCCCCGAGGTGGCCAGGGGCTCCTCAAGGCCACAAAGAAATGAGAGCAGAGCAGGGACTAGACCCCAAGCCCCTGCTTCCCATCCCGCCCTGCCCCCCACCTCATCCTGAGACCTCCCTGCTCAGCAAGGAGGGAGAGGCCCAGGGAAGCCCTCCCTGCCCAGCGCCCGCCCTGCAGGCCCCGTGTTGTCAGACTCCAGCATCCACCGCCTCCCGCCATGCGCCACCCACCGCCAGCACCTCATCCCCACCCTCCACACTCTCCCTCTTAGTTTGCTCACCAGCTAAACAGTCTGCTGGTCTTCATTGTTATGCTCAGAGGAGCCTCATTCATTATCTCAGTCCCCCTTCTGTCTGGGAGAGGCTGGGAGCAGGGAGGGAGGGAGCTGGGCCAGGAGGAAGAGCCGCAAATGGGTTCCTGAGTGGCTTTTGATAAGAGTGGGACAGCCTGCCTGTGGGCAGAGGGCTGGATGATGGATTGAACGTCCTGGAGCAAGGAGAGGGCACAGGTAGGCGAGGAAGGAGGGAGGGAGGGCGGTCAGAAGGAAGGATCGGAGGCGGGGAAGAAGGGAAGAGGACGTTGGGGCTGGGGACTCTCTCCTCTGGACGCCATGGGCTTGCTGGGCAGAGCTGCCTTCCCAATCTGCCTCTTCCGCCCTAGAGCGCCTACTGCGCGCCAGAGTGCCAGACGCTCAGTTATACCTCCTCTTAACTCACACCTGGCCCTCCAAGGAAGAGAACGGTCTCTATTCTACAGGTGAGGAAACGAAGGTTCAGAGTGGTTAGGTAACATTCCCACATCGCACAGCTAGTCACAGGGAAAACAGGATGTGAAAACACTCACTCACCCACGCAGCAAGGAATGTTCGCGTGTCCGACACAAGCCCCGCACTCTGGGAGCACCACCTCCTCGAGCCAACGTAGCAATTGTGAGAATTCCTCCCAAAGCGAGGATTGGTCTTCTTTCTCTGCCTCCCCCTGACCGTGAAGACGCCCCGCCCCAGTGCCCCTGATGCCCCTCTACAAGATTCAAGCTGGGTGACTCTGGTATTAGGGTTTCTGTTGGAACCAAGGGGCCATGTCCAGGGGTTGGGACAAAAGTCCGGAACTCTCCAGCCAGAGAAGGGCCTGGGCAGCCAGACGGGACCCTGTCCCATGTCACAGAGGTCCTCACTTGTCTTACCTTCGTTTCCGCTCTCCCTGTGCCGTCTCAGGGAAGTGGTAGAAGATACATGCTCATTTTTGTGAGGGTCAGCTGTGGGTCTCCCATGGCCCAGGGCAGGCTGCCCCATGCGTGGCACTCAAGCCAGGGAGCCCTGATCATCCCGTTTGCAGATGAGGAAAGGGCGCGTTAGAGATCTTGGCAGATATGCCAGGACCCATTTGCTTGACCCCCCACTCTTTGTCTGATGGCGGATCAGAGACAGGATTCACACTTCAAGGAGCCCGGACCCTAAGCCAGGCCCCATGCTCTTCTTCCGCCTCCCCTGCCTCCCCTGCCTCCCCTGCGGGTGCCTGGAACACATCCCTGGGCCTTCCTTCGGTTTCCACTCATTCATTTACCCACCACTGCTTTGTGCTTCCTCTCTTTCTCAGAGAGCTCCAAACTCCTCAACAGCCTGCAAAGCCCTTCACATCTGATCCCTTCCTATCTCACCATTCCCCTCCGTTACCACTCTGCTGTGTGCTCCTCTCTCCCACCCGCATCTAGCTGCTCCCCCAGCCCTACATCATGCCCTGCAGTCTCTGCTCTGACTAGACAGCAGTCCCCAACATCACCGTGTCCTCTCTGTCCTTGGGCCTTCCCAGTGGCTAATCCTTCTACCTGGACCACCGTTCCTCCCCTGCCCGACTAGGCCTATGGGAGCCTCAAGCCTCAGCTAAGTGAGGCTGCCTCTAAGAAGCTTTCTCCACTCCCACTGCTACCCAAGTTTAGTTGCTCGTTTGTACTTACAATTCCTTATTGAGCAGCTACTATCTGCCAGGCCCAGTGAGGGTTCCCCAACAAATAAGCGATGAGGCTTACTCTCGTGGAGCTTCCATTCTGCTGTGTGCTGTGTGCTTTGTGCTTTCTTCTCCACCGACTCCACTTCATGTTTATTACCTTTTAATGATCTGTCTTCCTGAAGGGAAGAAAATAACTTTCTTAAAATCTATCTTTATTATTGAAAGTATTACAGATGTCCTGGGGAAGAAAATAATTTTAAATCACATATCTGGTGAGGTCTAGCATCATGAATATATAAAGAACTCTTACCACTTAACAACAAAGAGACAACTAACTTACAGTAGTCAGGGTTTTCCAGAGAAACAGAACCAGTAGGAGAGAGATAGACATAGACATAGACATCTATAATAATAAAAGCATAATATGCTAATTAGACCGGACAGCTGAACAACCTTCCAGACATCAATCCGGACGTCCTTCCAGAGGAAGCCACGGTGGCGGGGGCCAAGGCAGAGGCGGTTAGGGGCGATCAGGCAGGCAGGTGAGCAGTTGGGGTGATCAGGCAGACAGGTGAGCAGTTAGGGGCGATCAGGCAGGCAGGCGAGCAGTTAGGGGTGATCAGGCAGGCAGGTGAGCAGTTAGGGGCGATCAGGCAGGCAGGCGAGCAGTTAGGGGTGATCAGGCAGGCAGGTAAGCAGTTAGGGGCGATCAGGCAGGCAGGCGAGCGGTTAGGAGCCAGCAGTCCCAGATTGCAAGAGGATGCAGGCTGGGTTGAGGGACCCCCACAGCCCCCCAAGCACAAATTTTGTGCACCAGGCC